ATAAAATGTACAGAGTAAATCATAGAGACCCTATGCCTAATCTAATTAGTGGCTGCTTCTTTCTCATCCAGTTAAACAACCAGAAATATGTAGTGGCACTTTTCTTCTTCTTTGTTGATTTTGTTTTGTTTTTCAAACAAAGGAACAGATAACTTCAAAGACATGGGAGTAATTTTACTGTATATGGTTTGGGTCAGGACTTTATCATTTCTCTGTTCTATTTCAATCCTCTCTTAAAGCACCTGATCATGTCATTCTGATGCTCAAGAAGCTTTCTATGGCTCCCTATCACCTGTATGGTAAAATGATAAACTCCTCATTTTTGGCATTTAAAGCCCTTCACAGTTTGGCTTCAATCTATTTTGATGGATATTTCACATTATTCTACTTTGCATACTATGTTGCTGTTTCCTGATAAGGCATTCTCTCGTTCTTCCATTCCTTTGCCTGGGCTGGCCCCCAGGCCTGGATGCATGTTTAGTTTCCTTCCAAGCTCATTTCACTTCCTACCGAAAGTTTTTCCCTAAACCCCTAATTGTTAGAGTTCACTCCCTCCTCAAATGATAGTATAGTCACTTATTTATGTAAATATTGCTCATTCCCCCCTCACACTCCCCTCCCCGCCCCTACCCCAAGTACATCTTGAGCTCCTTGAAAGCTCAACCTCTTTCTCATTCTGTCAGTGTCCCCAGCACCAAGCACAGTACTGTGACACAGCTGGAGTTTAATAAATGCTTGTAGAGTTAAAATAAATTCCAAATGACAATCATAGAAGCTATAAGGTAAGCAACAAATGTTATTATGGTTTCAGGTGACACACTTAACAATAATGTTTAAACGACAAATGTATAAAGAATAGTCAGCAATGGGTAGTGGTTAGCTTATGTGTAAACAGAAAGGCAAAGATGAGGCACAAAGCAAATCATATGATCTGAAGGTCAGCTCCTTGAGAGCAGAGATTGTTTCATTCTTTGTTTTATCCCCAGCACCTAACACAGTACAGTGCCTAACACAAAGAAGGCATTTTATAAATGCTTATTGGTTAATGAATGGAAGAATGCCTTATCGGATTGGAAATTAGGGATTCTTGTTAAGTGGTCAATGTCAAGTTGGGTGGGGGACTAAGAGGGAATTTTGCCAATGAAATCAAGATGTGAACCTCATTGCAAATGAGGTTCTAAACTGGGAATAAAAGCTTAGAAACTAACTGAAAATTTTAATAGTTAAGAGCTTCAATAGCCTCCTCACCCCTAATTCCCTGAAGCATTCTGCCAAAATAAGGCCTATAGTTCCAGCCAACTGGGAGCCTGATTATCAACTAGTCACCAATTCCCAAAATGTCCATTCCCAACGCCCCACTGCCCAGCATGAATAAGCACTAGTTCTCAAGTTTGACCCACCTGCATATCAAGTCTAGGTTCCCTATTCCCTACCAGCCCCACCCCACCCACCCCCACTCACCCTCACTCCTGCAATGCCTGGTTCTGCTTGATTCAAATAAGGACCTTATAGAAATCCACTGGGCCTTACCAGTTAAAGCACCCCTTTTTCATCAGGGGTGTCTGGGGGACCTGATCCATTTCCATTCTCCTTGACTCCCCTTGTGATTGTATCTCCCCCTCAATATATATGGCTGGGTTAACTTTCCCTTTGCTCTCACCTTTATCTTGTTGTGTTCCATATCAGGGTACTCTTGCCTTCCTTGTACTACACTTTAAAACCCCAAACTTCAGTTGAATACATTAAAACCAGACACAACAAACAGTGATATAAGAATTTTAAATAAAACATTATCAAGAAGACTACAGTAACATGTCACACAAATTATGCACTATGACCAGGTTTGTCATACTAGGAATAGAGGCCTGGTTTGTATTAGATAACTATAAACATAATTGACCATATTAATAACGGGAACAACAAAAATTATATGATTATACCAATAGATGCAGAAAAAGCTTTTGATAAGATACAACACCCATTCCTGTTTTAAAAACACTAGAAAGCATAAGAATAAACAGATCTTCCCTTAATATTATAAGTACTATCTATTTAATAACCAAGAGCTAGCATTATCTATAATGAGGATAGACTAAAATCCTTTCCAATAAGATCAGGGGTAAAGCAATGATGTCCATTATCACCATTACTATACAATATAGTGCTGAAAATTCTACCTGTAATAATAAAACAAGAATACAAATTGAGGTTATAAGCATAAGAAAAAATAGAAACAAAATTATTGCTTTTTGCAGATGATAAGATAGTTTACTTTAAAAACCTTAACTAAGGGGGCAGCTAGGCGGTGCAGTGGATAGAGCACCGGCCCTGGATTCAGGAGGACCTGAGTTCAAATCTGGTCTCAGACCAGACACTTGATAATAGCTGTGTGACCCTGGGCAAGTCACTTAACCCCAATTGCCTCGCAAAAAAAAAAAAATCTTAACTAAGAAAATTAATTGAAACAACAATTTCAGCAATGATTATAAAATAAACCCATGTAAATTACCAACATTTCTTTATGTTACCAATACAATCCAGTAGGATGAGCATATAAACTCCTTAAGGGCAAGGTCTATCTTGCGAATCTGAATTTGAATCTCTGGTGTTTAGCACAGTGCTTGGCACATAATAAGAACTTAATAAATGTTTTACCTGTCTATTAATGGGAGAGACAGCTTAGGGTAATTACAGTCTGGAGGCAAAACATAAAAATGAGAACTAAAGAAAAGATCATGTAAAATAAGAAAATAAGAAACTTGGGGGGATTTGAGTAAATCAAAGCTTCAGGGAGACAGCTTCCAGCTGAACCCAGAGATACTACTGTATTTTCAGCATGGGAAGAAGGAGAGACTAAGAGGAGAGGCCTAGGGATAAAAAGTGGGAATTAAGGAAAGAAATCAAGTTAATGTATTAAACTGACAAATCTATACAATCGCATGTACCTACAATTTGCTTAATCTATACATAGTCCAATATTATTCACACTGCCACAAAATAATGATAATAATTCACTTAAAATAGCTTGCGTAATAGAAGGGTATGGAAGAAGAACAAAGGGGTAAATCTGTAGTCCCAAGGCCCCAGAAGGAAAAAAGAGAATCCTTTTTAATTAGTCGAATAAGGAAAAAAGAGAAGATCAACAGAAAGTATCAATAGGCTTCTGTTTGAGGATGCCTCTGGAATTTTCATTATGGCAGCAATAGCAAGTGCAGACTAACAGCAATTAAATAGAGAAGTAGCTCTAAGTCAGGGTTGTTTTGGGTGCCCAGTCTTCAGTAACATACTACCTGGAAGGGACTCTGAAGCTTAGCAATAAGGATTTACTTCTAGGCCAGCCTTGCAATCCTCAGTTAGGCCTGTTAATCAATGGCATTTATTGAGTACTTACTACTACAGAACACTGTATAAAAAGGAGACATTTTTGACAGCCATAGGTTTACCTTGACTCCACTTTTGGTCATCTTGCTGACAGACTCAAAATCCGAAATAATAAAAGCAACAAGGTAAGTGCTCATCTTCACAGTGACATCAAAGTGGTCCTCTATTAGTCCTTCAGCAATATTCACAGATTTCACCTAGAATCAGGACACTTTCCATCATTAAATATTTCAAAGCATTGTAATAAAGGATCTGAGGTTGGTCCTAGACAAAAATTTTGTAATGGGTGGTTTGTCTTTGGTACCTTCTCCTATTTCTCACTGTGTTTTTCTATCACATATTGTTGCCTTTATTCCCTAACTACCCACTACCCTGATGTTGTGGTACTCTACCCAAAACAGCCTCTGAAAACTCCCAAACTATCTTTCCTTCCTCTCCTCATCAAGAATCTCATTCCCTTGCTCAACTCAATTCAACATTTAAGTGCCATTCATGTGCCAGGTCCTGATCTAGGCAGCTGGGGAAATAGAGATAAAAAAAGATAATCCCTGCTCACATGAGACATATATTGTACTAGAATGAAGTCAGTGAGGTCAGCTAGGGTCATCAGTGTTAGGAAAACACTCTGATTAACCTAATTTCCAATGACTACCAACTCCTTATTGGGGTGACTCCCACATACTTTTATCATTCCACTAGTAAATGTACTTTAGTATTTCATAAGGAAAATTCTTGTTAAGCTACATATGTGTTTATATGCATTGTCCAAGGACTAAAGATTAGTGGGAAAATGATGACAGAGTCAGAGTTCCCTAGAAGCTTGCTGTTGAGCTTTGAATTTGGTCCTGTCCTTTTTAGAAATTTAGAAAATTTAGAAATTTAGAAAAATCAAGACTTGGATTAAGATATGGGAGACATAACCTTAGGCAAGTCACTTAAACTCTTCTGAAACACAATTTCTTTATCTGTCAAAAGAAGGGATTGGGCTAGTCAAGCGTTGTTAACATTAGGTATATGAACTTTTAAAATTATCTTGATAGCTGTATTTTGATATAATTGGCTTCCTCTGAAAATGCATTTTATTTTATGCATTTAAAAACATTATTTTGAGAAGGGGTTCATAGGCTTCATCAGACTGCCAAGGGGTCCCTGACACAAAGATGGTTATGAACTGAAGGAATCTCAAAGGTCCTTTTAATTGGTCGACTAATGTCCTTACTACAAAATTAGAAGAAATACTGGTCATATCTATCTCGATTTTTGATTAAACATACTTAAATATTCCTTTTTTCAGGAAAAAACTATGCTGCTATCCATTTTCACACTACATCAACACTACGTGGAGCTAATAACATTATCTTCATCTATTTCTGTCTCTCTAATACTCAGTTTATTGTAAAATATATCTGTAAAAAATATATAAACTATCACCTAGCAAAATAGCTCCATTTTTATAAAAAAATAATACATTTTAAAATCATGTTGATTTTTATAAATAATTTAGGAAATAATCTCCTTTTAAAATTATATAAAATTTTCTAAAGCATTCTCTTCTTTCCTCTAATTTTGCATCAGTGACTTGAAATGATACAGGTACTCATCCTGACTACCCCTTAAAGAACAAAGCAATTTTCAGGAAGAAAATTAAGATATCTTTAATTTCAAGAGGGATTCTAGATGCAAAGAGACTGATTTGATACAGATATAAAAAAGAACTTGGTGAAAAAAAGTTTTTTAAATAGACAAGAATAAAAACATGGATTGAATGTGAGCTCTTACTGAAGCACCACAACGCTATGTCCATTTCTCATTTTTAGAGTGAAAAATAAAGAAATACAAGCTTACTAATGGCATGTTGGAGATAGCAAGGTGCCGTGGTTCTCTTCTAATCTTGATTGAGAAACTAGCTTTAAAGGCGGGTTCATCAAAGCAGGGAAAGGCCATCCGAGCTGCTGTTGGCTCGAACTGTGTGGATGCTAGTATCCTATAATTAAACCAAGTAAAATGAAAAACTAAGAGACTGAAAATATGGTTATAAGTCAAAGCAATATATGCCTCCACCCTCCTCCCTCCCAATACCAGCAACTCCACAAGTAAAGAATAACAGTGGAGACAAAGAGAAGGAAACTTAAATGACAATCTTCTTGAATTTTTTTTTTAAGTCATTGGGGCCAACACATTAAACCTTTTATTTGTTTATTTTAGAAAAAAAATTACCTCACTTCTCCCTTCTGAGTTCTATAAGAACTTTTATAAAATCCACGTAAAGACTCAGAAAGAGGGGCAGCATATTCAATGGTAACTATGTAGTGACGTCCAATCTGAAGGGGTCGACCGGCTATGAGTGCAATTTGGTTATTGGATGGATACTCCAGAACAGTCAGTGGCAGCTCTGCCCAATTATCTTGGCTTTTTTCTTGGAGGGTTGCCTTGGTGATCTGTAGGTGTTGGCTATGTAGAATGATGAAACTGGTGGGCTGATTGACGATGATTTCTACTTCAGTGACTCCCAAGAATGTCAAAGTGGTGAGATTGGCATGGATCATAAGATTATAATGAATTGGAAGGATGTAGTCAGGAAGTCGCATGTTATTCCAAGGAAATGGAGCTCCATTAGTAGCTCTTGGAGAGTTTGGTTCCATGCTCTGGCACCTTGTAGAAGTCCACACAATCAAAATAGTTAACAGTGATGGTAAAGTCATAAGTGGTAACTTATGTGGCAAAAAAGCCATCTTGTTCTTGCTCCTAAAATCGCCTATTGGCACAGACCCTTGAAAGTAAAAGAAAGCACAAACATAGGTAAATAATGTAGGAAATGTAACTAAAGACACTTTTCCCCTCCTCTGCCCCTTTAGGGCTAGTATGTAATTTTCACTTGCCTCCACAAGTACCTGTTATCCTTCAGAAAAATCAAATTATCTGCATGTATATTTTACTTTATCCAGGAAGAAAGGTTTTCTATTAGTAATAACCACTCTAATACTACTGAAAGTAATCATTTTACTTTAATGATTAAAGTGAGCAACCTCTTATGCCATATACCACAATAAGCTCTAAATGGATATGTGATAAGAATATAAAAGGCTCTACCAAAAATAGATTAGAATAAGATAAAAAAGATATCTTCTACAGCTATGGATAGAAAGAGAATTCTTAAATGAGCAACAAGCCTTTATTAGGCAGCTACTATGTAGTGGAATGGTGTATATGTGCAGGGTGTGTCGGAGTTAGCTCAAACAGGCCAGGATATTGTCAGTGTGAGCATTTAAAACCTAAGAAATCTACAAGCACTACAAATCAGAGCTTGATTTACTGTTTTGGTTGGTTGTCTCTAGATTTAAGAAAGTGCTGGAGAAAATGTTAATAATGCAAATTAAACTTGAAAGCATGTCTTACATACATTCCTCTGCATCACATCACCCCATTTATGTTGGGCACTAGAGTCACAAAGACAAAAATGAAAGCATGGGAAGGTTGATATGATCTGATGTGAAATATACAATGATACAATTATATACAATTATACAATTATAATAGCATAATCAAAATGAATTTTAAAATATGACTGAGTGCTATGTAATTATAATGACCAAGTTTGGCTCTGGAGAGGAGTTGAAAAAATGTGCCCCTCTACCATAGCACACCTATCAGATCAGCTAACATGACAAAACAGGAAAATGATAAATGTTGGAGAAGATGTAGGAAAATTAGAACACTAATGCATTGTTGGTGAAGTTGTGAACTGATCCAACCACTCTGGAGAACAATTTGGAACTATGCCCAAAGGGCACACCCTTTGACTTAGCAATACCACTTTTTGGTCTGTATCCCAAAGAGATCATAAAAATGGGAAAAGGACTCACGTGTATCAAAATATTTATAGCAGTTCTTTTTGTGGTGGCCAAAAACTGGAAATTGAGAGGATGCCCATCAATTGGAGAATGGTTGAATAAGTTGTAGTATATTAATGTAATGGAATACTATTGTTCCATAAGAAATGATAAGCAGAAGAACTTCAGAAACCTGGAAAGACTGAATTGAACTGATGTTGAGTGAAGTGAGCGGAAGCAGGAAAACATTGTACACAGTAATAGCCATGTTGTACAATGACTAACTTTGATAGACTTAACTCTTCTCAGCAATACAAGGATCTAAGACAATTGCAAAAGATTCATGATGGAAAATGCTATCCACATCCAGAGAATCTGAATGCAGATCAAAGCATACAATTTCCACTTTTTTTGTTTGTTTGTTTTGTTTCTTCTTTCTTGTGGTTTTTCCCTTTGGTTCTAATTCTTCTTCACAACATGACTAATGTGGAAATGTTTAATATGATTGTACATGTATAGCTTATATCAGATTGCACACTATCTTGGGGAGGGGAGAGTGGAGGGAGGAGGAGAAAATTTAGAACTCAAAATCTTATAGAAGTGAATATTAAAAACTAAAAACAAATAAATAAATAAAAATGTTTAAAAAGAAAAAATGTACCTCTCTCCCCTTTTTGAAGAGGTAAGGAATTATGGCTGTGGCATATTGCATATAATAATACTGTCAGACATGGTTAGTTAAAATAATAACAGTAAGCATTTATTTAGCACTTTAAGTTTTGCAAAGCACTATACAAATACCTCATTTTATCCTCACAACAACCCATGAGGAAGGTGCTATCATCATCACCATTTTATAGAACAGGAGCCTGAGCTACACAGGTTAAATGATTTGCCCAGGGTCATGCCATTAGCTAATTATTTGAGGTCAAATTTGAATTTAGGTCTTCCTACCCCCAGGTCCAACATTCTATTCACTGTGCCAGGAATTGCTTTTTTCCTCTTTTTTTAAAAATCTCTGTTGCAAGGGTTGGCCCTTTAGGTAGAGGAGCAGAAAGGATATATTTATAAGTTCAAGTGATGTAAAAACAAAATACATCAACAAAATATTTCCCCTTTAAAAATGATTAATCAGTGCCAGTCATTGATGATAAATGGTTAGGTGTAGTGCTGATTTCTCTGATAATCATTAATAATAAGATATTGGTGATTTGTCAAAATAGGAAGTCACAACTCCACATTATCATTTAAGTCAAGAGTAATTTTAATTATTTATGAGGATTCTTACATAAACTGTGATCTGCTGGCAAAAATGTTAGTGAGCTGCTTTTTCTTTAATTATGGTAAGGAATAGGGAAATCTTTACCTTCCAGATTCTCTCTTCCCTTCCACAGGCTCAAACAAAGGAGAGAATGAGTGGTTCACAGTATATACCACCTCTCTTCTTTTTCAAGAGCATCAGCAACAGTGGTATTGGGCATCTAGTCATTATCATGGAACTTTCAATACATTCTTGTGAGGCAAACTGGTATTATAGAGTCTTAGACTTGGAGTCCCAAAGACCTAGGTTTGAATCCTACTTCTGGTATTTACTGGTTGCGTGACCACAAGTAAATTATTGAACTTCTCTGAATCTGTTTCCTCAACTATTTAAAAAACAAAAACCTGGAGATGATGATGATACTGGTAGGACCTATCTTATAGAGTTTTGGTGAAATTCAAATGAGAATGTAGGTAGAGGGCTTTGTAAACTTTAAAGTCTTGTATAAACATCAGCTGTTATTATCTATCAGCAGAGAATCAATAAAAGTAGTACTGGATGGCTGTGTCCTACTCCCCATCCCAGGACATACTGCAATTGTACACAATTTCATTATGCACAGAGTAGGAGCATGACCTGGTGAAGATTTTTAAGTGAGGAGGCTTTAAAAGGCAGGTGCTTTGTTAAGATTCTCTGTTCAAATTTGCTTTGAGAAGGGGAAGAGAATAACCAGATTTGCTGCTGAACACAAGGAGAAAAGCTATTTCTGTTGAACAGTAATTATGAATGAGTCTGTGGATTACAGCTTAGTTTAATCACAGAAGAGATGCCCCTTTTAAAACCTTAGACAAATGTGAAATGGGAAGTCGTCTAATTACAAAAGAGAAAATTCATTTTATTCCTTCAATCATCCATCATAAGGTTGTTAGTGAGGATTAAATGAATTTACATATGTAAAGTGCTTTGTAAACATCAAAGCAATATATAAAAGCTAACTTTTTATTTTTGTACTATTATTATCTATCTCTAGCTATTTCATATTTGGATAATTTCTCCATATTGTCAAAGCAGGACACTAGGGTAACAGTCCTTGCCTTCAAGGAACTTAAATTCTATCTAGAAGCCTTTCCCAATCCCTCTTAATTCTAGTGCCTTCCCTCTGTTTTAATTATTTCCTATTTATCCCGTATATAGCTTGCTCTGTATATATTTGTTTGCATGTTGTCTCCTCCATTTGATTGTAAGCACCTTGAGGGCAGGGACTGTCTTTTACCTCTTTTGGTATCCCTAGTGCTTAGCACTGTGCCTGGCCCATAGTAAGTACTTAATAAATGTTTGTTGATTGATTGATTGATATTAATTGAGGGGAAATTGTATTGATTGATATTGATTGAGGGGAAATAGCATATCAACGTAAAAGTAACTATAAAATGGATACCATGTAAATACAAGGTAATTTCAGGAGGAGAGGTATTAGCAGCTTGGAGATATCAGGAAAGACTTTCTATAGAAGACCTCCTATAGAAGATGCCATTTGAGGTCTCTTGCTTTGAAGGAAGCTAGAGAGCTAACAGGCAAAGATTGGGGTGGGGTGCTACATGTATGGGGCTCAGCTTCTGCAAAGGCACAGAGATAAGAGATAAATGTCATCTGAGAGTTTAGCCACCAAGGGCAATTTAGCTAGAGTAGAAAGTGTGAAGGAAGTCACTTATAAGCTTGGAAAAAGTGAGTTAGAGTAAGGTCATGAAGAGCATTAAAGCCCAAATAAAGAAGTTTGCATTTTATCAGAGTGGGAAAGAGCCCGAGCTTCCCTCTCTAATCTCAACTCGTTCTGATTTTTTAGCCTTCCTGACACCATTTTTTTGTTGTTTTGTTTTTTACAGAACTGGGTCATGTTCTTATATTCATCCTGTTACCTGGCCTTATGTCCATCTTCTGTACATTTCTTTTTAAAGGGGAGTTAGTTGATGACTTCCCTGTACATCCACATAGGGTCTTTTCAGAGGAATCCCATTTTTTTTCCTTGTCATTGGAATTGTTCACCTTGTGTCATTGGAACTGTTCCAGCTAAGTGACACAGTGGATGTCATATTATTAGATTCTGAGTCAGGAAGGCTTGAGTTTGATTCCTGCCTCAGATATTACTAGCTCTGTGACCAAGTCACTCTTTCAGCCTCAATTTTCATGTTGGTAAAATGGGGATCACAATAGAACCAACCTCATACAGCTTGGGATCAAATAAGACACATATGTAAAGCGCTTTGCAAAATTTAAGGTGCTGTCATTATTATGTCTTCAAAATTTTATTACTGCACATCTCCCATCCCTCTTGGACTGACTTCTCCTATGGCATTTTAGTCCCTGAGCTCTAACTTGGCTTTCATCTGAACCCTTTGAAATCTCCTTTCCCAGAAGCTAGGGTTTCCTCAGATTTGCTCTCCATATCACAAACTAGAAATAAGTAGTCATTTAACCTCAGAGTTATTTCTACCCCTCTCCAATCCATCCTCTACACTGCTACCGAAATAACTTTCTTAATAATTAGATGGACTCAAGTCTGGTTGACAGATTAGACTGAAAGACTGGTAATTAACAAATGGTGGTTAATGTATCTTGACCTAAAAGGAAGTCTCTAGTGAAATGGCACAGGGCTATGCTCTTGTTTCTATTCTGTTGAAT